AACAGTTGGAAATCTAAAATCTTGCTCTTCTGAATGGCTTTAAATACCAGTCACTCAACAGATAACGTTTACATAAAGACGCATCTACAGAACCAAGAATCTTGCTTTTTTAAAGCAAAAACAAAACCACAACAAAAGCTCCTTTTATTCCTTTCATCCCCTTCCTATTTTATTTACTTAACTATTAGCACTTACCCTGAGATGTGCCATAAATGCTCTATTCCAAATGTATAAAAGCCAACCACATCTCAACTGAGAATTAAACAGTTTTAATGTCTTCAAATCCATGTCCCTGATCCAAAGCCTGATACAGACAGTCACTGGCAGTGGTACAATAATTCTACACAGCAGACATCTGATTCTTGACATTTAAAAATAACAATATTGGGGGGGAAAAAGAGCCCTTTTTTTAAAAAAAACTACAAACAGCTTGTGAGTGAGCACATTATCACCAATTGATTGTATTAACTGGAACTGGCAGTGATTTCAAGCTATAATATTTCATTTCAAAATCAATGTCACACAGAGGCCAAATACCTATAGACCTCTCATTTTCTATATAATTACAGCAATGGCCTATGTTAAATTAATTCTAAGTGATAATTGGACAAAGGGAGAATCAGAACTGTGCTAGTATTTAGATGCTATTATTGGTGACTATTAATTTAATCTTTGTTCATTCTTGAATCAAATTAGGAACCTTTCAGTCATTCTGTTGCTTGTCTAAGATGGATCACATTTCATAAACATGCAGGCACACATATCAAAAACCCCCAGCACATTTATTTCTATTTCTGAAGCACATTAGAGACTCAGACTGATATCAAGTCTTAGCTCTTCTACTTACTATCTTTGCATTCCTGGGCAATTGATTTAATCTTTTGTGCCTCAGTTTTGTTGTCTGTAAGCTGGAGTAAACAGTAATACTTTACAAAGTTGATTTAGGTACTAAATGAGATACTGTATGATTTCTAGCTCATAAAAAGTATTTGATATATGCTACTTCCTCTGTTGTATATTTGGAAGGGGATTGGGATCAGGCATAGTAAAAGGAAAGAATTCAGGTTTTGTAGGCAGACATCAGTTTTGACCCGCCATGATGCTATGGACTAGCTGTGTGTCCTTGGGCAAGTTACTTAACCTAATTTACTAAATCTCAGCTTCTTCAACTGTAAAATACCTTTTGGTTTTAAAGAGCAAATTAGATAACATTGGGAGAACATTCACTTTTGGTAGGTATTTATTGAGAGCTCCAGGCTCTGGAAAATTGCTTTAATTAGTACTCTGCATATGTAACTTAGGAGTTTAAAGATGTAGACTGAGATCACAGGCCTTTAGATCAAGTGTCTCACTTTATAGCAGAGGAAGGAGACCCAGAAGAGCTGAAATAATGGTTCCAAGCAACATCAACATCACTAGTTCATGGTAAGTAGGGACTAGAACACAGACCCTCTTATTTAAAGCTCAATGCCTTGTCCACTAAACCCTGTGATGTTGAAATTGAACACATTGGAAATCCAATTTCAGGACTAGGTGGTAATTAAAACAATACAACTAGAAAAAAACAAAACAAAAATCTTCTCTTTCTTGAATTCCCCAAATTTGCTTCTAAGGATGAGCTTACAAATGAAATTATTCCATAGGAGCTGGCAGGAGCTGGCTACATCCATCTTTCTGAGAGGAGCTCGCACAGGACAGCAGATTCTCCTTTTCCTCTAAAGCAAGACAGGAGCTGGAGAGAACGTCCAGTTCTCAGGCGCTGCCCATTCTCCTGCCTCCCCTTGTGAATGGCCAGCTCGTTCACTTTTTTTAGAGGAACTCTTCGACATCAGCACAATGGGTGAGAAGAACACACTGTTCTACATTTAGTTTACTCACTAACCTACTACTTCATCATATTCAGTTTGAAAGCCTTGTACAGACTAGGAGCTCAATAAATATCAAAATTTGTTAAAGAAGGTATAATTTGCCCTAGCTGGTTTGGCTCAGTGGATAGAGCGTCAGCCTGCGGACTGAAGGGTCCCAGGTTTGATTCCGGCCAAGGGCACATACCCGGGTTGGGGGCTTGATCCCCAGTGTGGGGCATGCAGGAGGCAGCCAATCAATGATTCTCTCTCATCATTGATGTTTCTATCTCTCTCTCTCCCTCTCCCTTTCTCTCTGAAATCAATAAAAATATATTTTAAAAAAAGAAGGTATAATTCTACTCTCAGTTATATTTAAAGGCTTGAACTAGCTCAGGTTAGGGTTAATTATTGCCTAGTGTAGAATAGAAACTATTAAATGTTTTCAATATTTTGATAATTTCAGAATTAAAAATAAAGGTGCCTTGTGTATCAAAGTCAGATCAGTGATTACTCTGAGGAGGAAGGGAGAGAAGTGGGGTTGAGGAAGGAACATGTGAAATCCATTGCAATTAATGTTTTATTTCTATAGCTGGGTGATGTATAAATGGATGTGTATTTTACTTTTTTATACCTTTTTGTAAGTCTCAAATATGTCATTTAAAAATTGGCTTAAAATAAGGTCAATAATTTGAAAATAGAATTTCCAAATCTTTATGATAGATCCACTAATATGCCTGTGCTAAATCCCATACTTAAATCTTCAAGCTTTCATTCTCATTTTACTAAAGAATGTAAATAATATGTTTACGTTAAAGATTTTTTCTCCTTGCTCGCCATTTTCATGCCCTTGATTCCAGGGTTGTGCTGGGTATATAGGAAAGAGCTATGTTGCATCACATAGATCAGGGGTCCTCAAACTATGGCCTGCGGGCCACATGCAAATACAAATATTGTATTTGTTCCCATTTTGTTTTTTTACTTCAAAATAAGATATGTGCAGTGTGCATAGGAATTTGTTCATAGTTTTTTTTTTAAACTATAGTCCGGCCCTCCAATGGTCTGAGGGACAGCAAACTGGCCCCCTGTTTGAAAAGTTTGAGGACACCTGACATAGATCTAAGTCTAAATCTCAGTTCTATAATTTACTGGCCACATATCTTTAAATAATTCAATATTTCCAAGCTTTGGTTTCCTCTCTTGTAAAAAGAGAGTATTATTATATCTAGCTCTCAAAATTATTATGAGGAAAATTATTATTATTAATATGGAAATGTTTGCTACAACATCTGGTACATAGTAAGTTTTCAATTAATATTAGTCTCTTTCTTTCTTCCTCTCTCATTCTCTCTCTCTCTCTCTCTCTCTCCCCCTCTTTCTCCTTTCACTTTTCACCACTACTTGAGCTTTTTACTTCACAATGGTATAAAAAGAAAAAAGAATTTAAGGTAGGAAGAACATGGGCAATTATGCAACATAATGGAAGCATTTTGTTACTAACAAAGGCTAGCTCCAGATGCACGTAGAGTATCCTTCTTTAACCTGATATTTCTTATCTAATCTCATCACTATTTATTAAAGTCCAGTTTTTTTTTAAATTATTCTATTTTTGCTGCTAGTCACAGAAACTATAGAAAAAATATCCTATTCTAGGGCTTCTATCTTATTATCCATTCTTTCTTCAAGACAGATAGTCTAATCAAAGTATTTTATTCTCAGTGATGGATGAGATTTATGTGCTTAAGGCAGTTATAAAGTTTTCTGATATAATTCCTATAATGGTCATTTCCATAAATAAAGAGGCGTGGGTTCTAGTCCTACCAGAGCCACACACTAACAGCATACCACTAAGTCTTTACCTTTCTTTGAGTCTAGTTTTTTTATATGCTAGATGAAGAGGTTGGATTAAATGACCCCTTTAGCTCTAACTTAAGCAATGCACCATGTAATTGTGTAGTGTTTGTGAAAACTATCCACATGTTGGTGGCTTCTTCGGAAGCCTGGGGAACGGCTCTGGCACTGTCCTTGCCCACTGACTGCCAGCCTGGAATATTCCCAGGGTTTGTAGACACATGTCCAAAGGAGCCAGTTTTGTCAGGAAGAGAGCAAGATGATAAACTTCTCAGTGGAAGACTTTTTCTTGCATTTCTTCTTAAGATTAGAGTGGGAAATGATTATAGTACAGTAAGAACTTTTTAAAGAGATGAGGATAGTCGGAGAAAGAGGGAAAAAGACACTGTAACAAGGAAGGATATGAGGGTCATTGTTATGAAGGGTTGTGTCGTAGGAAAAATGACAACACCAGAGGAAGGTGGTAGGGAAGGGAAATACTCTTCCCCTATTTTTTTTATCCAGGTGAAATCTAGTTTAAGTGACTGGAGGGCAGCGGGAAAACATGAGGAGGTTGTGGCAGAGGAGGAGCAGCCTGTGGTGGGTCTGTACGTGTGTGGGATTTACACGCTGACACTAATTGCATTTTATTGTGTGGATGCTTCCCCTTGTCCTCCTCCTCTCTGCTGTCCTACTCTCTGCAGCTGTGCTTGTCAGGTCCCCTAACTGGCTCCAGCTCCACCTTCCCAGTGCTCAGGGCATTACCCCCATTCCCTATGCTCTGGGCAGCGGGGGCTCAGGTGGGAGTGTGGTTAGTGTTGGTATTGGTGTGACAATTACAATGGTAAGACAGATCAATTCCCCCAAACTAATAACTCCAGGCAGAATTTTACAACTAAAAATAAAACAAAAACCAGAAAAGAACAACAACTCTAGATAGATATAATTAAACTCTTTCCAAAATTCCAGAGGTCATTGTTGACTTTTGTAAAAAGGTGGATTTATTTTAACATTCTGTGTAGACTTCCCTTTCCTCTCCTCTCTATCCCACAATCCTTCAGACAAAAGAACACAAAACATTAATAACTCCTTGCCTCTATGCGGGTGTGCTTTTCAAAGCACTTTGATGTCTAGTAACTCAAGATACCTAGATGAAGATGGTAGCAGGTTTATTTCCTGAGAGGAGCACTTAGCCAGAGAAATGTTAAACAAATTTTTTTTTTCATGCAGACTATTCATAGGAGAGCCAATACTAGACCCAGGAGAAGACACCACACAATTAGCAGGTATAATTTCTGAACATCCACCACCCGACAGAAATGGTACCTGAAGGTACTGGCAGGAACGTTCTTGCTGACACGTCTCAGACTTCACCATGGCCTGGTCCACGTTCACCGAGGCCTTCTGGTAGACCTCCCGGGCGCGGCTCACCGTCAGCGTGGACGACCAGGCGCTCTTCTTCAGGAGCGGCGCGTCCAGGTTGACGGGCAGGTGGGCACAGGTGGAGCACTTGACGTCGTTGTTACTCCGGGAGGCCTTGACCGCCTGCTCACTGATGGTGTTGTAGGTCTCCATGAAGTACTGCGAGGCCGAGCGGTCAGGGCACCTGCCCATGGTCATCACGCCCGACGGAGAGTGGTAGATGCACATGTCGCTGTCCAGGTTGTCGTCGGAGCTCCACCAGCCCGGGGAGGTGTTGGGGGAGGTGTTGGGCCGGGCCTTGGGCTCCGGGCGCCTCTCCTTGCTCTTGCTGCGCTTGCCATACCTCACGGTCTGTGTTTCGTCGGGGCTGGCTTTGCCCCCGTTGACGCTGCCTTTGGATGGTCCCTCCAAGGAGTGCGACTTGGTGAAGAGCTTCTGGACCGAGTGGACCAGGTGGCGGATGCGGCCCGGGCTGTCGCTGCGGTGCTCCAGGGCTGTGCGCTTGTACTGCAGCGTGTGGTACCCATCCCGGCTGAGCGGCAGCTGCCTCTCAAACTGGTCCAGGAGGTTCGGGGGGATGCGATTGGCCTTGGTGGCCAGGGTGCGGGGCACGAGGGCGCACTCGTCCTTCAGCTCCTGCTGCGAGTTGTAGTGCCTGCGCGGGAAGGTGCTGCTGGCCAGCGGGTCGCTGAAGGGGCCCACGCACTCGGCCTGGAAGGAGTTGCGCTGCGTGTAGTAAGGGTGGTCAGCCGGGTGGTGCTCCACTGGGCTCAGCAGGTATGGCTTGCGGTCCGAGTGGTGCGAGTCACAGGCGGAATCGCAGGTGACTCCGTGGTGATGGCTGCGGCTGCCGGATAACCCTTTCATTGCTGATGGGGCGCAACCGCGGGGGTCATGGACACCCCGTGGTCAGGTTCCAGACCCGTCTCCCGCCAAGACCTGGGGGATGAACAGGAGGGGGAAATGGTTAACAGGTCCTTTGGTAAATAGATATTGCTTTGTCTTGCGGTGCTGTCTGCTACTGTGTTTGTTTTCTGGCAGAAGAACTCATCACTGTCCCTGAAAGCAGTTGCACTGCATCGTTGGACAAACTCCATCGCCTCTGTAGGGTGGGAAAGACAACTCCAACCAGATATGGGGAGACTGTAGGGGTGAAAGCTAGAAAACCCGGAACAGGAAACTATAGAAATGCTTAAGTGTTTTAAAATTATTTGGAAAGAGGACCCCTTTTCCCCTTCCTTGCTTCTCTGGCTTTATCCTTAACTATATGTGAATGGGAAATCTAACTCACCGAAGGTTCATTTGCTCTGGGAAGCCTTTGCTGATCCCCCTTTGCAGACAGGACTAGTTCCCCTCTGTGCTTCCCCACCAGTTACTCTCTCAGCGCCGGTGGAATTGTCTCTGGCTTTCCTGGGTAGCTTCAGTTCCTTGCAGACCCGCCTACCTTTTAGGCACCTTTACATCCCTCTCCCTAGCACCAGGCCAGCCATGTAGACACATAGAGTAAGCATTCCATAAATGCGAATAAAAAGAAAGGAATAAATAAAGGAGTATACTGGCACCTTATATATAACTTGAGGATATAGCTTTCTATCTTCCGTCACATGCTTTCCCATTAGAATTCTGTAGTAACAATGACACCACACAGGCACCCCTCCCCCACCATGGTAATCAGAATTGATAAAAATAACAGTCTGGCAAATAAACCAGAGCTGTAGAGACAATCTGCCCCTATATTTCTGTCATCAGAGGGTTAACAAACCTAGAGCAGTTGAAGAAGGACTAAGCTTGAATAACATGGCACCTGTTCTTCCTGGCTTAAAGGTTTCTGGCTAAATGTTCACAGATGATGGCAAGATGGCCAAAGGGGAGGTCCTTGAAATGTTCCCGAGGACATGAAACACCTGGGCTAAGGGTCAGCTCAGCCTCTGTGAGAAGCCACTCCTGTAGATCCACTGTGGGAGCTCATTCACTCTGAGCCCAGGCCTTCCCCTGGTGTAACAGGGGCTGCTGTTGCCCCAGGCAGAGGATTTTCTGACTCTAACGGAGTGTGTTCTCCAGTCACTGACCAAGTTTCTATTGTCAGCCCGAGTTTTACCCATCCAGCACCCCAAAAAGTGCTTGGCTGATGGTGGGAACTCAGTAAAATATTTATTCAATAAATTAACGTATTAGCGCAAAATCTCCCAGAGTGGTCTGTACTGTGATTCAAGTCACATCTATTGAATGGAAAGATAATTGTGTGACAAGGGATGGGCCACGCCAAGGAAGGAAGGGACCATCTTACAAACATTCCAGGTACCAGTGGTTTTCAGAGTGAGGCAAGAGAGAGACAGGTGAATGGTCTTTGTGCCACCCCCCAACTCTTCACAAACCATCAAAGACTATCCCACCTCTGTAAGTTCCAACTGCCTTAGAGTAAAAGTTTGAAGAATTTGCCTGCCCTCCTGACTATATAGAGGACAATCTATTTGAAGGAGAGAAAGAAATTGACATCTGAAGAGGAGAAAAGGAAATCAGAACTCACTAGAGGCCTGATGCACAAAATTCGTGCAAGAGTAGGCCTTCCTTCCCCCAGCTGCCGGCACCAGCTTCCCTCTGGCACCCAGGACCAGGGCTTTCCTCTAGCCCTGGCTTCATCCAGAAGGACGTCCGGTTTAATTAGCATATTACCCCTTTATTATTATAGATTAATAATAATCCTTCCTGTGGATTAGGAAGAACCTGTAAATCAAAACTTGCCCATTGAGGAGAGACTCATGAAAAAGGAAACTTAAGCATAAAATACCTTGGAACTGCTTTGTATTAAGTTTTGACTCCAAGAATAGGTGTGAAAAAAGGGATATCAGAAGGTTAAATACATGTTTTTAGCAAAACTGTGGCACAAACTAATTTAGATGAAAAAATCCATTGTATGAGGAAGTCTATATGAAACAGGTCCTGTTGTGGACATTTTTGCCTTTTAAATACGGATTTAAAAATAAAAAAAAGCAAAAATAACAATCTAGTAGGATCATACTCACATAATTAGTCTTAAGATTACACATGAAAGAGGAAAATGAAGACTGAGAGGAGGAGCACCTCCACCTGCAAGGTGAGGTCTTACTCTTAAACTCCCTTTCCAGCACATTTCTTCCTGCCAATTCTCCCCCTCCCCTTCCTAATTAATGTTTGTAAGTGGCATCCATGGCCCTCATTTGCTCCAGCCTGTGGTGTAACTGGGTATCTCTCCTGTGCAGGGCCCAGTGTTTGCTGCTGCAGACCAGGGCATGGCCACAGCAGTCCCTAGAGGCCAAAGGGCTTGTGAGGTGCTCAGAGACATGATCTCATCAGGAAAAAAAATACGAAAAGCAATTCTTATTATCTTCTGCATTCTTGGATAAGGAAGCTGCTAGCCCCTGAATTAGATTTTAAGTGGCTGTAAAGGTTTCTGAAAATAGAAAGGGAAATTGCCTTTCATACTTTCCCCTTTGAGTGTGGGTGGGGACTGTAGGTAAATATGCCTTCATAACGGTTTCTATGATGATCCTCTCTCTTTTTTAGTGTGTCTACCATGACTTTAAAATTATGTTTTGTTGTTCTCCTAAGTTTAATTTTACTATCAGACAACATGTCCTGATTTGGGGATTGGAAAATTTGTTGAGTATATTGGATATCCTGAGATGAGTTCTGAGGTTTAGAGGGAGAGATGAAGCATCAATGATGAGAGAGAAACATCCATCAGACACCTCCTACACGTCCCACACTGGGGAGCAAGCCCTGACTGGGAATCCTACCCTGACTTCCTGGCTCATAGGTTGAAGCTCCACCACGGAGCCACGCCAACCAGGCAAGATGTGCCTGGTTTTAACGGACTTCCCACACCTGTACAGATGATGACCAAAGCAAGAATCCAGCAAGGTAAAGGAAATTCTCAAGGTAGATAATTTATTAGACCAAGAAAAAAACAAACAGACCACATATTAGAAGATGCTGACAGTGGAAAAACAGTGTTGCAAAGCTGGCAAGTCCTTATTTCATTTTGATTTCTGTGCATGTCTTTATTTAGAGCTGCTGTTCTTGATTTTTCTTTATATGCAGAGAGAAGACCATGTGGAGGGCTCCACTCTCTCACTCAATGAGGACTGACAGCCAGGCTATCATGACTAGCTTTAGAAAGAACAATGTGGGGAACCCCACCCAGGAGAACAGGGTTCTGGTTTGGGGAGGCATCAGGAGGAAGAAATCTCCGTAAATCTTTTCAGGGTCAGGAGGCTTCTTTGGTTTCCCTCCGTGAGACCTGCCCATGCCAGGTTATAATAGTTAACTAAAGAGAAAGAAAGCATTCCCTTATTGAAGAGTATAAAGTAATCCCAGAATAATGACTTTGTTTCCCAGTCTCCCTAGATGTGCATAGGTGACTAATTCCGACTAATGAAATATAATTGGAAATGGCATGTGCAATTTCTGGAAAGTGTCTCTAGCATGAAGGGCATACTCTTGGATATCCCTTTCCCTGGCTGTAATGCAGACCTGAGGGCTGGCAGAGCAGTGAGCGATCTGGTACATGAGGCAGAAGTAGTAGTAGTTGGAGCAGCACAGGGAAAGCACCTGGCCACAGTGGAGGATCAGTTCATCCCTGGATGCATACCTCTGCATCTTGTTTATGTGGAAGGAAACAGACCTTTATCTTTGTCTCTGCCACTGGTATTTTGTTTTCTGACATTTCATCTGGACCTATTCCCATGTAAGATGGGTAGTGAGGACCAAATCCTGGAGAGCCTTTGTTAGTATCCCAGATCGCAGGACCTCACTTTGCATGTGGAGGCACTCCATGAGAGTGATTGAAACCAGACAGTGATATGGCCATACCTCTATAGATATTTTTTTTGGCTGTAGCTAGAGCCTAGATTTAGGTGTGGGGAGAGGTCCAGAAGATCTAAAGAAGCAGTTACTTCTTGCTTGGGCAGTTCATGGGAGAAGACCAGAAGGGAGGATGGCCAGCTGGGGCTGTGCCTGTCTCAGGCTACTTGCTCATACATGTGTGTTGCTACCACAGTTTAAACACACGACACTTTTTCCAGAAGAAAATTCTAGGTAACATGGATGCAGATTTTATTAGCAATTTGTCCTCTATTAATAATAAATCTCCATTCTATAAAGATTGAGAATGAAGAATCGTATGAATGTATAGGCTTATGATTTTAAATAAAAATAATTTAAAAATAAGGGAATGGTTCTAATTAATATATTACTAAAACACAAAGCCATGCCACTTTAAGGTAAAAAATAAACAGAAAACTGAACAGAGGTGAGAGTGTAGGTTGACATTGGCCAAAGGCCCACTTCTCAGATATTTTCTGACCTTCTGAATTTGTAGCTGTAATGGATAGCTGAATGCCATTTTCTTTCACTTTTCCAAGCTTTCCTACTTGAAGGTTTACAGGTGTTGTATACTTAAAGTCATGTAAGTACCATTAGAGCACCTTTGAATAAGCACAGTCTGAAATACACTGGTTATATTGCTCGAAGTACAATAGTAAGCCATTTTCTATACGTGGAATGTGTTCTGGCTTCTCTTTAATATTAATTACGATCATAATCATCTGCAGTTAGATTTTGTTTGTGCATACCTCCTTCAATCAATCTGAGTCAGCTCCTGTAAATAAATGCCTTTGGAGCATTTCCCTTTCAAAAGATACAGTATTGTACAACCCCCGCCACCCCCACCCCCCTCACAAATAACCAACAAAAAACCCCCAACAACATCCAAAACCTCCTCCAATTTGGTCACAGTAGGTAGTAGAATTACAATTGCCTTTGTTTTCATATAAAAGCTTTAAAAGAGTGGTTTCATTTCTGTTTTTGAGCATAAAAAGGTGAAAGATAGTGTTCTTTGAGAAATGGTTAGCAAGTCATGAATATTGGTATATTCGTATTGCTGGTTGAGTAAAATATCA